AAAGGACAATAGATGGCAATAGCTTCCTCTTTGCCCCACGTGCATAGCACTTAAAAAATCCTACAGATTTTCCCACTTAGTGATAAAGTTCCTGCCGCTGCTGAATGGCTTTTGTCCTAGGACCTAGGACATTCCCTTTCTCTTCTTCTCTTTTTTTTTATATTTTGTAGCTCCCCATTTAAAACACTCGTCTCTGGAAATAAGCCTAAGGACATGGGATCGAGGGGAGCATCTCATGTACTTCCTTGCAATTTCATGCTCAAACGGAGTCGTTAAATCATTTTCTGAAATTGAGTCGAGAATTTGTGTTGCCGTTGTTGTTTGTGGCAATGACATTGGAGTGCCCCACACATGTGTGTGAATGTGTGGCACGTCTAGCTGTAAACGGAAGTACTTACTGGGTCTCCAGCTAACATTAAATTAAAATATGTTCCCTACACATTTCTTTCTTATTCCCGTTTCTATTCTTTAATTAAAACCAAAATGTGTTTTCTTTTTTGGTCCTTTTTTGATGTTTGGGCGTTAAATGCACTTTGTATGTGATTTCACGGTTTTATGGCTGCCTTCTCCAGCGTTTCTCTTTGAAGGGAGCTGAGCTAATAGGTCCATGGAGCACATGGAGGACGTCTGCCCCAGGTACCCTTGACATTGGCCCAGCCTTCTTGGAGGTCATTGCAGGCAATACGCCATAGGACTCGCGGGTGAAGGTAGGAAACTAAAATTGGTTATGCCTGGGCAGGTGGTGGATAAGTCTGATAGATCTTATATTAGGATAGGAATCATAATGATGGAGAGTTTGGTTGGTCCTTAATGTTGCACTTCACTCCTAATGGCTTGTAAAAACTTCTTTATTATACAAAAAATATAATAAATTTAAATATATTTCATAACAACGCTGTTCATTCTGCTTTATGTCCAGTAATTACACAGGCAAAGCTGTTAACACTTTACAGCCAACATTGCTTTCTGAAAATTCTTTAAAAGCTGCTGGTATAAGAACATCGCACTCCTTATAAATGGGTCACCACATCGTAAACACACTTTAATGTCCTGCCAGCCATATTTTCAACTTTAAACATCATACATAAAGCACTTTCGACCAAAAACGACAGAAGGCTGTAAAAAAAAAGGGAAAATAACATGCAGAACAAGGTCAGCAGATGAGCTGAAACTCGAACTCAAACCAGGGCCAAAAGCCCAGGGCCAAGCCAAAGCCCAAAAACCCGAGGATCCAATGGCCAATATATCACATGACGCCTACAATTTAAACTGCCAAAAAAATGAAATGCAAACTGGGCGAACGAAGAGAAATGGCAAACATTTATATAAATAACACCATCGACTCCAATTAAAGCAGTTTGCTCGATGGGTGGGTGTGCAAAAGTGGTCAGGGTTTCTGGGAGGGATCTGTCCTGATGGGTAGCTCCTCCGTTTCGTTCTCGGTGCGTGATAAAAACCACAAAACGAATTTTTCTTTATGTGTGTGTGTGTCTGTGAGCGAGCCAGTGTATGTGTAATAAAAATGCAAAACAAAAGCGCTCAAATATGTTTTTGTTTTCTTTTTTTATATCCCTTTTTGTATTGCTCCCTCCCAAGGGTTGCCAGCGTGGGCGTGGCACTTGCAGTTCTAGAAGGGGCTGTGGTGGGTGATAGAGAAAGGCGGGAACTGGGACAACCAAAACCACTTCCAAATGTCATTCGCAGGCGAAGCAATGACGTACCGATGAGAAAACGCAGAAAACGGGAGGACTACAGGAAGAGTGAAACGGACAGAGATAAAGTTCTGTGGAGATGAGTATCCGAAGTGGGGGATACCCTGTAATCGTATTTTATTTTATTCAATTACTACTTACTAGTGTAAGTGTTCGAGGATGATCGAGGACGAATCAAGAACAAAATACATTACAGTTAGCGACGGAATGAGGTGGAAAGAGTATAACCAAAAATAGTCAGCGGAATAGGACATCAAGCGCTTGAGGATGATCGAGAAAGAAACAAAAACAAAATGTATTACAGTTAGCGACGGAATGAGGTGGAAAAAGAAGAGCGAAAGGGAAAAACAAATACATACATATGTAAGTAGTAAGAGATAGGCGTTGATAGGCTTTATATGTATGTATTTTAAATTACATATAACGGCAAAAGACAACACTCAAGTATTAAGTTCTTTAAAATAGAAGGAAATCCAATTTTTCATTATCTCTCCACTGCAATCACATAATCAACATGCCCAACTTCCTTGCAGGGCGATATGCAAAACGCTGCAGAGAGTGAAGCGACCAACAAGAAATGTTGCAGCAACATTTGGCAGCAAGTGGCGGGCGAGTCGAGGAAATAATAATTTATGCATGCGTTGTGGTAGCTCGATGGCGATGTTGGTAAGGGGGGGTTTTCAAGGGGTCTTACAGAAAGGGGGGGGGATATGCACCCCAGAAACCGCAAAATGTTTCGCCTTGTTGTTGCATTTGTTGGCTCTGCGCGCGCAAAAAAGTGAATCTGAGCTGCAGGCTCTGCTGCTATTGCTGCAACCGGAAAACGGAAATTGTGGCCAGTTTCCTTTCTGCCCCTCGATTGCATCCTCAATCCAGAAAAACCACACAGCTCCACCAACGCTCTCAAGGATTTATGATCGGGCCGCCGTTTAAGTCGCGCCAATCTGCCCCGCTCTTTCTTCATTTTAATACACTCACTCTATGTCGGTTTTTGTCGTCCCGAAATACAACAACAATTTGCAATTAAATGCTTTCTATTTGCAAATTTCCTATGCTTCTTGTGGCAACGACCAAGCTCAGCTGGATTTGAATGTGGTTCTGCAGCAAGCAAAGTGTGGTTTTCATCGATTGAAAATGAAGTTTTCTATGTTTATTTTTGATTTGCTAAGCTTTAAAATAAGCGAAATTTTGTCTTTTTAAATACCAAACTGCACTTCACAATCCTTTTTTTATGAATTTCTAAAAAAAATAAAACACTTTTTGCCGCCCGGAAAAACTGTACCCGCATAATCGAACACTTTTGAGCCCGCACAAAGCAATCGCAAAAAAAAAGAAAGAAAAACCTTCGGAAATTACACAAAAATTGGAAACGAAAATCAAGCATATGAATTTAATTGCCTAAACAATTCTAATCAAGCTGTGAGGCCATCAAAAGGACACAAAAGGACGAAAATTGCTGATTGCATTTAATAAAAATATAATATGGCCGCAATCGAACCGAACATTGAACCACGAATAAGCCACCACCGATCTGCCCAAAAAATATATAGATATATATATAAGAAGAAATAGCAAACGAATGGACATCAAAATGAAATCAAATCGAGTCGGAAAATGAATGCGAAACGCAAAACTCACGACGACAATGCGAACTTAATTTCTGTCATAGAAAGCATGAAAAAGGAGCAGCAGAGTGGCACGAAAATTGACATATTGACAGCCAGACAAAAGGTCCACCCCAAAAAAAAAAAGCAAAATGGGAGGGAGTTGGCAAGGAGGAGGATGCCGCACTGCAGTTTGATGGCGGCGTCAAAAATAAACAAACATTGCGACGGCAATAAAATATCAAAACAAGCCAAGAGCAGCGGGCTAGGAGGTGGAGGCGGGCGGTGCCGTACGGTACGACTGTGGCTTAATTGAGGCAACAGAAGGCCGTACAAAAATCCAATCAAAACGCAATGAAAACAAGGATCAAGGCGGGGGCACAACCAACCATTGTCCCGGCCAGCTGTAAACCACAACTCGGTGTGTTGATGTTATCCTGGCAAATAATCAAACTCACACAAACACACACGGAGATAGAGAGAGAGAGAGAGTGGAAGCCCAACTAAACAAGCCAACAAGGACCTTGTCAAGTAGACATGTAAGCGATACAGATGGAGATACTAGCCTCGATATGGACCAGGACAATTGCGGCACGAATCCTGTCAGAATCCTCTCAAGGCTGCTGCTGCTGCAGTCATCCCACTTTTGCAGTTTGCAGTTGCATTTTCAATCCTGGTGCACTCAGTGGAGCGTATGGCCTGGCATCCACCGCTGTTGAAAGTACCCCTGACCTAATCCAATTTCCTATACAACAGATAAATCCTGTTTTTGTTTTCGCTTACCGTTGCGGTGGCATTATTAAAGCCGAGAAAAGAAAACACACACGGATGCCGAGTCGAGTATTTATTTAAATTGAATTTTCCACTTAGGGGCTAGTATTTGATGATCTAGATTGGAGATGAGGTAAGGGATTGCTGGAGATATTGGTTAGTGATTGGTATAAGGAATCTCTTAACAAGAAAGGAACTGAAAAATATCTTAAAACTTGTTTATTCTATCATCATTACCTTCAACCTTTTAACTCAAAGGAGTTCAGATCTGAAGCCACACCAAAACCATCAAGTCCCCCGCAAAGCCCTTAAGCTATTAATAAACACATCTTCCTCCCCCACACTAGCAGACTTCCTCCTCAACTAATTTTATGGTTTGCCCATCAAGACAAAGCCCATGAACACCCCGATCTGAACTACACCAGGCCAATCAAAGCTCATGACCTCCTCCTTCTTCCTACACCTCTCTGTCTCTCATAAAAGCCGCCAAATGTTTGGCGTATAAAAACAAATAAGACAAAGCACACATAAACCACGCCCCCGACGCCCCCGAAGATGATCAACGAAGGGAAATTTGTTAGCGTGTTATGTAAATTGCACACAAGAGGGAAAAACAGGCCTGGATGGATACATTATGTAAATAAAAGAAATAATAAGCTCACACGAATCCAGAGACAAAGGCCAGGCCATGTATGTTTATTATTTTCATGATGCGTTGATGGCATTTCAACTTGGGGTCCTTGCTCTTTAAGGATGTGTCAAAGGAAGCTGACTTTTTTATGTAACAATTCAACATTTAACTTGAATTGTTTACTATTTTAGTTTATGAGTTCATAAAGAAAAGTGCCAGCCATATAAGGCCATGAGATTTTGCCACAAACCTTAGCAGGCCGTGGCAGTGTTAAATCAAACTTCAAATATTTAGGTACACTTAAATACTTTCTTTATAGCTTACATATTTTATATTTAATTAGAAGAACGCTCAAAATTAACCAAAAAAGGTTGCAAGTTATACCACTAACCTGATCTACTAACTAATTCCAAGAAAGAACCAGAAAAATCCCAGATGAGTGCCTTGATGCAGCTTCTTCGCAGTTACTTCCCCAAATGGTGTCTTCCCCGCTCGGATCGTCAGTTGCAGAAGCACCTGCAGCACCATATTTTCCGGCAGCTACAGACCAACCAACTAACCAATGTCTTGGTGGACATCAAACCCAGTGAACAGGTGCTGCCCAAGTGCAGGTTCATGCAGTATCGAAGGATGAATGATCATGTAAAGCGTTTGGGCATGGTCTCTGAGGATGGGAACAAGATGGTGGAGCTATCGAGCATCACGTGTGCTGCTTCCAATATGATGGACTTCATCCAGCAGAGGTACTGCATGGATAGTCTGCTGGACAGTGTGCAATATATGACGGTTCAGGATGTGGATGCAGTGGATCTGCATCTTCTGCCGCCCATCGATAATCCCGGGAAGATCATCGGTATCGATTGCAACTATGTGGACAACTGCGATGAGCAGCACATCTCCATACCAAAAGAACCAAGCTTCCATGTCAAGTTTGCTAATTCGATTACTGGAGCTTTGGACAACATTAGGTCTCATAATCTGGCAAGGCATATTGACTATGGCTGCCAGTTGGCCGTGGTTATTGGCAAAAAGTGCCGGGATGTAACTAAGAAGGAGGCTTTCAATTACGTTTTTGGATTCATGGTGGTCCAGGACATTCTGGCTCGTGATCGGTCTGCCGTTCTTGGTGGTCATCCAATGGATACGTTTCTTCCTTTGGGTCCAACCATCGTACACAGATGCCATATACCGGATATTAACAATCTGTGGATCAAGACGATCGTCAATGGGGAGCAACGTCAGACGGGCAATACGAAAAATATGATATTCAAGGTCGACTTCCTTATACACCGCCTATCCCAATATATAACTCTCTGTCCGGGTGACATTATACTAACGGGTACTCCCGCCGGAGCGGGTGCCTATCGTCAGCCGTCTAGCTTTTTGAAGCCCGGCGATCTTATTGAGAGCGAAATTCAAAATTTAGGCAAAATGTGCAATAAAGTCGTTAATTCCTATTCTTAAAGTATTGGTTGTTTGAAGTTTTTCATTTCAAAAAGAGAAAGTTTAATTAAAATCTCAGGAAAATATGTCCTCAAAGAGCCGAATCTGTAAAAGTCTCATAAAAATCACATATGTCCCCGAATAAGCCACAAATTCCAGCAACCACCAAACATGGGCCAATAAATTTTCGCTGATGCCAGGGCAAGGCAAAGGAAAACCCAGTTAACCATGTCAGAAGGAAGCTTCTTCTGTGGTGGGCTCCTAATATGCAATCCGGGAGTGATGGAAGCTGGAGAATCATTTTGTAATATAATTTGTTTTGCTCGATGGTTTACAGGATGTGGGGGTGATGGGCCACACTTTTATGATACGCCCAAGCATAATCAACATTATCCTCAGAGAGAGAGTGAGATAGCGAGAGTCAAAAGCCGCAAACAAGGCGCCTACAAAGGCGGCAAGAAGGCGTGGCAAGGGAATCCCCGCAGCGAAAGCCACGGCGCATTATCATCTCATTGCACAGGACTTAATCCTGCGGCAAGTTATTAAAGCGTAACGCGTTTCGTTCTTGTCCTTTTGCCAAAGTCCTGCCGCTCCAGCTACACGGATTCCTCTTGGCTCCTTCGTGCTCCCTTTTTATTGTTCGCGCTGCGCTTAACTTGTTTCGCATTGAAAACGGGATGGAATAGGGGATGGCATCGGGGGAAAATACGTCGGGGTGGTGGTATATATATATAGGCGACGCCGCCTTAATGCTAAATGATCCAATATCCTGTTTCCTGCATTTGTGCTCTGCAGCAGCGTTAAAAGGTCCTTTGTGGCCTCCGTTCAGCTATTATTTGCCTTGGCCAACTTAAAGATGTTTTCCCTCTCTCTGAGCCAACTTTTCACCACCAAACCGCCCTGGCCCCCTTTCAATTATTTGCTTAACAGAAAAGGAAGATGGAATCGCCGGAAAATGTAGTACGATGTAGAGGAGTAGGTGGAGGCGGGATGGAGCTACATAATTTTGTATCTTTTCTTTGCGCACGGCAACTTAAATAGAAGAATGTAAAGTTTTTAATTATGCAACTCAACGCTGACGTTGTCGCATTGTATGCGAACCGAGCCTCCGCCACCGCCCCGCATCTCATCCCGTTTATGCCATCTAGTGAGCTGGCCAAAAACTTAAAATACACATAATTAGCCATAGTACTAGGGGGATAGTTTTATTTTCTTCCCGTTTGCTTAGCGACAAAATTTGCGCCACCCTCTGTCATTGTGTGGAGTGTGTATCCTTGGGATATCCTTTGGACTTAGTTAGATATCCCTATATACATTTTTTGGGCCGAAAACTAGGCCGTTTCTTTACGAAAGTTGATGTTTAGTTTGCTGACAAAACTGACAAAGGCCTTGGCTAATTAAAGGAAAATATTAATTGCTATATAGTTACTATATGAGACTTGAATGATCCTACTTAAAATATTAATTCTTTTTATATAAATCAGGGGTGCCCAAATTAGTCTTACGGCAGAGAATTGACTAACACAAATACAAGGAAACGTGCACATATTTAGTGACGTTTTTGTGTTGGTTAGCAGCTGTGCACTGAGAGAAAGGGAAACACTTCTTTTTGCTAACCTTTTCATCACTCATTTTAACACTCACGTCGATGGTCCACTGCGAAATAAACTTCAAAGTGCAGACAGAAGTTATAAGGAATGATTTTCAGTGCAAGTGCTCGAGGATTATTGAGGAAGAAACAAGAACAAGCACTGAGAGAAAGAAAAACAGTTTGCCAACTCCACTGCGAAATAATCTCGAAAGTGCAAACCGAAGTTATAAAGAATGAATTCCAGTGTAAGTGTTCGAGGATGATCGAGGAAGAAACAAGAACAAAATACATTACAGTTAGCGACGGAATGAGGCGGAAAGAGGAAAAGGAATAGCACAGCGAGCGCTCAAAGCTTATGGCTGAGCAAGCCTATATACTGAAATCATTTACATTATAAATTTTACAAAAACAAATTGGCACTCAGAGCATAGGAGTTGAGCGTGAATGACTAAAGTAACCGTTTTCTTAGTTTTCATTTCTCAAAATACTACACTTCAATACATACACAGCTTTACTGCCAACTTTAGGGCAATTTATTTAAAACAAATTTACCGCAACTTTTTGAAAATGTTCTCGAGATCAGGTTAAAACCGTTCTGTAAAAACCAAATATTAGTAAGATTAATATAAAGTTATTCTTCTATAGCCCTACGTCCTTTGACTATAGCCGTTGTTCGTTCGACTGCTACTCATCCAGCCGGCGGAGGCAAGCAGTCCCCTGGCCATAAACAGTACGGAAAGGATCGCGTGGTCTTCTTGCCAGATGATTGGCTCAATGGACCCCTTGGCGTCGGCCTTTTGGCCTATATCTGCTCCGGGGACTTCTGTGCCATTAGGCACGAGCACAGCGGACTTTCCCTTGGTATTATGCAGGACGGGCACTATAGTTATGGAATGACCATTGGAATTATGGCAACTTTCAGTTTAATAAAGCTGCTTCCAGTGATTGTCAAGTGGGCTGATAACAAGATCAATGTGAGTTAGTAATTATATTTCAAATTTTATTCATTCATTTCAATTTTCTCAATTTTTAATAAATAAAATATTTACTTTCTGCTTACAGAAAATTGAATCCGGGAGCAAAAAGGATGGCATAGTTGAGGTCCTGCTTATCTCGCCACCTAAGAAGAAAGAGGAAGATCAATCAGGACAATGATAGTTAGATCAAATAATTAATTTTAATTTTTTTTTAAGTATTTTTTAAGCTAGTGTGTATGTAATATAGCTTCAAAATGTCGGTGTGAGATGATGATTTTTTTTTAAGGCGGTGAAACTTCAAAGATGCAGCTTCTAAATGAAACATAAACTGTATCCTGTATATTATCAGTTAAAATCTTCAAAGAGGTTTTTGCTTAAAATGTCATACCTTAAAAATAGCACCGCCTTAGATAGCCACATCAAAAATTCAGCATTCCTGAAGAGATAGTAAGATTAGAAGCAAAATCCCGACCCGTATGCCTGCCACATTTTATCCCAGTCATGGTATCGTCCATGGAAGCCCACTTTTTCTAGATGAAAGCTTGGAAGTGGAGTAGGGGTTATGGGATGGGGATAAACACATAAAATGTAACATGTCGTAATATTCACCACAAGGCAACCCGAACTGGGAACATGGAACATGGCATTGAAAGCTGTTGCCAAACAAAATAAGGGAACCGACCAGGAAGAGGCGGCAACAATGCCAAACGGATACCAAAGAGGGCCAAAAAAGAAAACAAATTTTCCTCTCGTTTTTCCTCTGGCACGACATAATCTTTTTAACAATTTGTATTTGAGGGGGTGTGTGTTGGGCCATCGGTGTGTGTGTGTGTGTGTGTGTGTGGATATGACACATATCCCGGGTAAAGTCAATGCCGAAGTATGCAGAAATTTGTTTTGTTTTTTCGGCTTCTTTTTTCTTTATTTTTTTGCTGGCTGCTTTGTTATACATAATCCTTGTGAGGTGTGACATTTGTATGTATAAATTTCAACTTTGATCCGCAAAGGATAACCCTCGGGTGGCCAAAGCCAATTGCCAGGCACGAAATCTAAATAAACACACAGTCTCGGAAAAGAAAAATGTGGCCACGTTTCGTGTGTGCTCGAGATCTGTGGCAGAACTCCTCGAGTTTCCAACCTCCAACTCCTCCACACACACACTTAAGCTGTCAAAATCAGCACAAGATTCCCTCTCCTGTTTGTGTTTGTTTGTGTTTTGGGAAAATGTTATTTTCTTTTCATTTAACTGTCATGTATTTTGCATACACAAAAGCCAGCTCCTGTCGGTGCCAAATTGAATGCCCCTAAAGAGGGAGAAAGGCTCCTCTCAGCTTTGTTTACTCTGCACTTTCTGGCGTAGGTGTTGCGACATTTGACCGCCGACGTCTGCGAAACATCAAAAGAAAATTTTGCTTATTTTCATTCTCTTTTTAGGGGACATTAATCACACCTGGGCATTCAAATGAACAAATTGACACAATTCTAAATTGAATTTTTTTAGAAATGAACAATGAATTGTTTTCGGCAAAGGAAAAATTATTTGGAAAAGCTAGTAGAGGTGGCTAGTAGAGGTGGCAAATGCGCAATTTTATTTTCGGCTTTCTAGCTCTAACTCGGCCAAAACAAGACTTACAGTCAAAAGAACGACAGTTTTTTGCTGCTAACGACCAAAACTTACCACCCCTGTCAATGGATTTTCGATTTTGAGAAAACCAATTTTTCCCAAATTTCGCATTTTTGATAAGGGGTACCATCATCAAAATTTTCAAAAATGGGCTAAAAATTAAGTTTCCCAGATTTGAATGCCACCCAAATGGGAATCATATCAATCAAGTTACAAGCCATTTGAGGTATTACATTCTATTTTTGGACAATTTTTGGCTTTGTAATGAATAAAATACTGATATTTTAGGCTCAAAATCAAGTATACGTCCTTTTGACAGCAGACAGACACGATTTTTTGCCGTTTTTTTAACTGTAACTTTGTCAAAGCTAGAGGCACGACTAAAACAATGATTGTTTTATTCAGCTAACTACCAAAACTTAAAACGCCTATACTTACTTTTACCATGATTGTTCTGATTTTTTGCTGCGAGAGCAGATTTAGTGACTAAAATATCAAAAACCCATTTTTTGACAGATATTTGCAATATTACTTGCGGCTTTTTAGCTCTATCTTGGTCAAAACAAGACATACAGCCAAAAGAACGACTGCTTTGTGCTGCTAACGACTAGCACTTACCACCCCTATCACTGGATTTTCGATTTTGGGAAAATAAATTTTGGCCCAAATTTCGCATTTTTGATAAGGGGTACCATCATCAAAATTTTCAAAAATGGGCTAAAAATTAAGTTTCCCAGATTTGAATGCCACCCAAATGGGAATCATATCAATCAAGTTACAAGCCATTTGAGGTATTACATTCTATTTTTGGACAATTTTTGGCTTTGTAATGAATAAAATACTGATATTTTAGGCTCAAAATCAAGTATACGTCCTTTTGACAGCAGACAGACACGATTTTTTGCCGTTTTTTTAACTGTAACTTTGTCAAAACTAGAGGCACGACTAAAACAATGATTGTTTTATGCAGCTAACTACCAAAACTTAAAACCCCTATACTTACTTTTATCATTATTGTTCTGATTTTTTGCTGCGAGAACAGATTTAGTGACTAAAATATCAAAAACCCATTTTTTGACAGATATTTGCAATATTACTTGCGGCTTTTTAGCTCTATCTTGGTCAAAACAAGACATACAGCCAAAAGAACGACTGCTTTGTGCTGCTAACGACCAGCACTTACCACCCCTATCACTGGATTTTCGATTTTGGGAAAATAAATTTTGGCCCAAATTTCGCATTTTTGATAAGGGGTACCATCATCAAAATTTTCAAAAATGGGCCAAAAATGAAGTTTCCCAGATTTGAATGCAAACCAATTGGGAGTCATAGCAATCAAATTACGAGCCATTCGAGGTATTACATACCCCATTTGGACCATTTTTGTCTGTGCTATGACAAAAAAACTTATATTATGGGCTCAAAATCAAGTATACGTTCTTAGACAGCAGAGAATCGTTTTTTTTTTGCAGTTTCTTAGCTGTAACTTTGTCAAAACAAGCGGCACGACTAAAACAATGACTGTTTTATGCAGCTAACTACCGTTACTTAAAACCCCTATACTTACTTTTATCATTATTGTTCTGATTTTTTGCTGCGAGAACAGATTTAGTGACTAAAATATCAAAAACCCATTTTTTGACAGATATTTGCAATATTACTTGCGGCTTTTTAGCTCTATCTTGGTCAAAACAAGACATACAGCCAAAAGAACGACTGCTTTGTGCTGCTAACGACCAGCACTTACCACCCCTATCACTGGATTTTCGATTTTGGGAAAATAAATTTTGGCCCAAATTTCGCATTTTTGATAAGGGGTACCATCATCAAAATTTTCAAAAATGGGCCAAAAATGAAGTTTCCCAGATTTGAATGCAAACCAATTGGGAGTCATAGCAATCAAATTACGAGCCATTCGAGGTATTACATACCCCATTTGGACCAGTTTTGTCTGTGCTATGACAAAAAAACTTATATTATGGGCTCAAAATCAAGTATACGTTCTTAGACAGCAGAGAATCGTTTTTTTTGCAGTTTCTTAGCTGTAACTTTGTCAAAACAAGCGGCACGACTAAAACAATGACTGTTTTATGCAGCTAACTACCGTTACTTAAAACCCCTATACTTACTTTTATCATTATTGTTCTGATTTTTTGCTGCGAGAACAGATTTAGTGACTAAAATATCAAAAACCCATTTTTTGATAGATATTTGCAATATTACTTGCGGCTTTTTAGCTCTATCTTGGTCAAAACAAGACATACAGCCAAAAGAACGACTGCTTTGTGCTGCTAACGACTAGCACTTACCACCCCTATCACTGGATTTTCGATTTTGGGAAAATAAATTTTGGCCCAAATTTCGCATTTTTGATAAGGGGTACCATCATCAAAATTTTCAAAAATGGGACAAAAATTAAGTTTCCCAGATTTGAATGCAAACCAATTGGGAGTCATAGCAATCAAATTACGAGCCATTCGAGGTATTACATACCCCATTTGGACCATTTTTGTCTGTGCTATACCAAAAAACAGATATTATGGGCTCAAAATCAAGTATACGTTCTTAGACAGCAGAGAGCCGTTTTTTTTTTGCAGTTTCTTAGCTGTAACTTTGTCAAAATAAGCGGCACGAAACAGCTAACTACCGTTACTTAAAACCCCTATACTTACTTTTATCATTATTGTTCTGATTTTTTGCTGCGAGAACAGATTTAGTGACTAAAATATCAAAAACCCATTTTTTGACAGATATTTGCAATATTACTTGCGGCTTTTTAGCTCTATCTTGGTCAAAACAAGACATACAGCCAAAAGAACGACTGCTTTGTGCTGCTAACGACCAGCACTTACCACCCCTATCACTGGATTTTCGATTTTGGGAAAATAAATTTTGGCCCAAATTTCGCATTTTTGATAAGGGGGTACCATCATCAAAATTTTCAAAAATGGGCCAAAAATGAAGTTTCCCAGATTTGAATGCAAACCAATTGGGAGTCATAGCAATCAAATTACGAGCCATTCGAGGTATTACATACCCCATTTGGACCAGTTTTGTCTGTGCTATGACAAAAAACTTATATTATGGGCTCAAAATCAAGTATACGTTCTTAGACAGCAGAGAATCGTTTTTTTTGCAGTTTCTTAGCTGTAACTTTGTCAAAACAAGCGGCACGACTAAAACAATGACTGTTTTATGCAGCTAACTACCGTTACTTAAAACCCCTATACTTACTTTTATCATTATTGTTCTGATTTTTTGCTGCGAGAACAGATTTAGTGACTAAAATATCAAAAACCCATTTTTTGATAGATATTTGCAATATTACTTGCGGCTTTTTAGCTCTATCTTGGTCAAAACAAGACATACAGCCAAAAGAACGACTGCTTTGTGCTGCTAACGACTAGCACTTACCACCCCTATCACTGGATTTTCGATTTTGGGAAAATAAATTTTGGCCCAAATTTCGCATTTTTGATAAGGGGTACCATCATCAAAATTTTCAAAAATGGGACAAAAATTAAGTTTCCCAGATTTGAATGCAAACCAATTGGGAGTCATAGCAATCAAATTACGAGCCATTCGAGGTATTACATACCCCATTTGGACCATTTTTGTCTGTGCTATGACAAAAAAACTTAT